CACCCCCCCCCCCCAATAGCACCCCACAAATTTTAGTTGACTTGAAAGTCAAGTTTAGACTCTAAAGTGAACTAAATTTTCTAGGGCCCAATTCAAGGAGGTGGGGGTCGGGCCGAGGTGGGGGGTTAACAGCGGGTGGGAGGATTTATTGGGGGTATCTAGGTGTAGGAACTATCAATTTTTCAAACGGAGTACCGTAGATGTCCCGGATCATCTTATAACTTTGAAATTCAATGTCACTTAAACTGGGTGTACTTATATTAGTTATATAGCTTCAAAGAATACTTAAAAATACTCCGTAGTTAGGGATGACAACGGGTCGGGTTCAGATCAGATAGTACTATACCCGAATCTGACCCGTTTTTTAAAACCGAAACCCAAACATGACGTGAAACCCAACTTTTTAAGCCAAAAACCCAACCAGACCCGAATACGACATTCCAACCTGAAACCCGAACCCAAGTTTTAACCAATAATCAATTCGATTCACCCCAATAATTTTAAAAAGATTAAATCTAATTTTTTGTCTCATTTTTTATTAAAGAATTATAAAAATGATTATAAAAGGCATACTAGATATTATCACTTTGTCAAGAGATTATACAAAGTTCTTATGATATCCATAGATAGGCTTTTATGTTATAAAATATTCAGGTTTGAGTTGTGTCGGATTCAAGTCTGGGTCGGATCGGGTAAAATTATTAATCCACACCCGACTTGGATTATTTTATTCTCATTTGGATTTGGATATTTTAGTGATGATTGAGTTGGTTAAGCTCGGATTCCAGTTGAATATTCATCCCTACCGTAGTAAGCTATATACGCTACCCACAATTTACATTCTAGACTCTAGATTTTCAATCTCCATAATTTACAGAATTAGGCCCATTAGGTCCCGTTTTAAAATGACTACTGGACGATTAATTTTAGTGTTAGCTTTTTTAAAATTAATCAATATTAGTATTAAAATTTTACTCTCTTCGTCGTTAAAAAGATTATTTTTTTTTCTTTTTTCTTTCCCGATAACTTTTGTTTATTTACGCGATTTTTATTAAGTATTTAATAAAATAAAATATTCTTATCACTTTTGTTTTGTAAAAATTTTGACATAGTTTTTTTAATATATAATTTTATATATTATTGATACACCAATTTGTAAGTAAAATAATTTCAAAAAGTAGAAAATTTTACTTCATAATCCACAATTTATAATCAAATCCGGAAGGAATATTTCAAAACAATAACCGAAACATTGTCTCTGACCAAGGCAAATAAATTCTATAATTAACTCTATGACCCCTAGCTTTTCAACCACTATGATTTACATTATAGACTCTAGTTTAACAGATCTTGTATAGCAGATTTGCCGCTTTGGGGTCTGACATTGGCCTTAATTATTTTAAGGCCAAATATCAAACCATCTCTCATTAGTCATGTCGGGCAGACTATATCTCTCCCTCCCTATCTTTTACCCTGTTGCTTATACACAGTATTAATTATACTTTGAGATTAAAAAAAAACCAATCTTCCGACTTTCGAGAAACAGATACACTAATACTCCGTATCTTACTCTCTCCATCTACCAATGATTTTCTCATTGCGCGTTATAAGATTTGACCGATTTTATTTTCAATTCAATTTATTTGAATGATTTTATTTTCAATTCAATTTATTTGAATGTAAAGATAAAATTTAAAAAAAAATTATATACTCCCTCCGTCCCGCTATATTCGTCCACTTTTGACTTTTGAAACTGTTCATCTAAGCACTTTGACTCATCAAATTCTCTCAATGTGTAAGTTTAAGTATAGTCATGTGTGATATTGTTTGATTTGTCTTAAAAAGTACTCCGTACATGAAAAGTTATACAAAATTAGAGGTGACAATACTATTTTATTTTAAGAAATGAATGGTTAAAATATGCAAAAAAAGTAAAATAAGTTTGACCA